GCCCTATAGCAAACCTCTCCAAAAAAAAAAAAAAAGAAAGAAAGAAAGAAAGAAAAGAAAAGAAAAAGAAGAAAAATTAGAATATGTAATAAGAAAAAAAAAATAACTATAACTACTGGGCCAGTAGGTGGAGTAGAGGATAAGACAGCTGGATCCCACCTGGCCGTCTTCACCACTACAGGGTGATTTCTCTCTTTCTCTCTCCGTCAGTGGTGAGCACAAGCACCCTATACCCAAACTGAAAATTTAAAAAATGGCTATTTTACTATTATTTTTTTAAAGCATGTGGTTACAACTATATAACTAGTTTAAAGATGACACCTTGCATTCCCTATTTAGGTAAGTTAGGTCACTGTGTGTTATTTCTAGTTGTTGCTCTTTCATAATCAATACTTTATATAGAATTTAAGGTATTTTTCAAGTGTCTGTTTCCTTTAAATAAATTATTGCAAGATTAGTGAGGAAATTATCTTATTACCTGGAATGTATTTTCATATTAAATTAGCCATTTAAAGTTATTTTATTGATTTGTATGTTTTCTTAGAAATGGACTATGGTGGGGCTGGCAGGTGGCGTGGTGTTGGGTGCTGGACTCCTACATGGCCTACCATGGTTTAGGTCCCTGACCTGGTGGCTTGCTTTCTCACTTTCCCTTTCTCTGTTTCTCTCTCTGATCAAATAAATAAAATAAATAATAATAATAGTAAATAAAATAAATAAATACATAAGTAATTATTTTTTAAACAAAGAAGAAAGAAATAGACTGTGGTAAAAACAATATGTGCTAGCTGTTTTAATAATTTTTTTAAAAATTGAGACCAGCAGTTAGCGTAATGGCTATGTCGCTGGACTCCCATGTAGTCGACCACGGTTTAAGTCCTGGACCCGGTGGCTTAAACTCACGCCGGGCACGTGTGCGTGCGTGCCCAGGAGCCCAAGAGGAGAATGGAGGAGAAGGGATTGTGGCGTGGTCATCCCCCCTGGGGGGTGATTTCTCGCTTTCTGTCTCTCTGTCTCTCTCTGTCTGTCTGGCGAGCGCACGT